AGATGCTCTAAGAAATGAATTTTATCAATCAAATGTACTCTGCGAAATAGACACTTAACATGTTTTTGCCACAGATTTTATCCCTCACCATTTCTAAAATTAAAAAACAGCAATAAGATCTCATTCCTGATCTTTCCTTGTTACCCTTGCATACAGTCAGTTGAAAATGCATTGTCAGATAGTTCCTTTGAGATGTACCTTTAAAAACAGGTTGCTGAATTAGTTGAAATCTTGAGCATCTTGATTGTATTGCGCTCTCTGAGGTGGGTTATTTAGTCGTGTCTATCCCACTGGACAGTTAATCGGAAGTCTATATCTGACGCTCGTCGGCAGAATATGCTGACGTAGACACTCTTGGAGAAAGAAAAGTTGTTCTTTTGTTGGAGCTTGCTACTTAGAGAAGTCCTGCCATCTTCGAACAACCTGAAGCTTGTTAAACTCGTATGACTTTGAAGTTGTAGAGAATATTTGTTGCTCAGGGAACACAATACAACCAAGATCATGCACCTGAGCTACAAATATTCTCCACTATTTCAAATCTCGAGCATACATAGCAAGTTGGTTCACTGGATACCACAAGTAACCTCCGAAATAAAGTTCTGTATTGCAAATGATACAACTCAATAGAGAAATGCATCTTGGTGTTTAATCACTTGTTTCTTTCTCATTTAGTGATCATCCTCCTCTGATATCAATACCGGTCACACATAGATGAAGTACAACAGCTTTATTGGTAAGACTGATAAAACTCTATTTGTTTTCATTTATTCTCAAACTACTCAAATAAACTCTATGATAAATTCCTGTAGTTCCTCAACAAATTCACTTCAAGATGCCAGTAAGGAAAAACTTTAATTCAGACTAGCTCAGTCCTCTTCTAAAAGAGAAAGCTTGTATCGATTTATTCTGAGTGTGATCTTTTATTGCGTTTACCAAATGCAAGATAGGTTGTTTCATTGGTAGTGGTGGTTTCATTGTAGCTAATGATGGGTTAGACTGGCTGAATGATGTACGCTGAATGGTGGGAAGCAACGGATGAAATGATCTAGAGTTAGGCGATACTGAAAACCATGCATTTCGATGTTAAGTCATTCAGTTGAGCGATCAGAATAGACAACTAGTCTTCAAGGCAGTTTAAGACTTGAGAACACAACAATATAATACTCTACATCCCATTCTTCGGAATTTTTCAGAAGACTTCACTGAACCTGCTATCTGAACCATGTCACAACAAGTGCATTTCCCAAAAGAAAACTGTAGATTAAGTTCAGTGCTGAAAAAATATGACTTAGGAGTCGCATAGATTACCTTCCGCTAGACAGTTGAACCGATTAATTTACTAAGTCAAAAAGGCTTCAGAAAGATGTTAGCCTGAAGTAGTAGCCACTGAAGGGACCACTGAACTTATTTCCATCTTCCATCTGGAAAGTCCTATCAATTTGTTACTTTTATTTCAGTGGATTGCTAATGCTTAATCACAGCGCCACAGATCTATCATAAGAATGTGACATAAATTTAAAGATGTCGAAAATCTTTAATATTCCATTCAGGGAGATGATAACCGTCACCACTAAAATATACGTTAAAAACTGCACAAAAGGTTGTAAGCGGAAAGCCAGAGAGAGAAAAGGTAATATATTTACAGTAGATGACTGACAAAAGATATCAATCAGCTCATACATCCAAAGCCTGTACTCAATGCCACTACACTAATTATTGTTTAATCAAGAACAATCAGGCATTATGATTCTATAAACTGGGTTCAGTCTTCTGCATGCAAACAACTGCCTCAGGAATCAGATAGATGGAAATTTTTCAATTTTGGAGTCATCGCATTGATAGCACAATGTCTGTAAGTAAATTTTCACCAACAGCCAATATGGTATGACTTTTTTCGCGCCTCAGTCAGTTGATGCAATCATTGTGAGTTTAAGTATTAAGTATTGGTTCGGGTGGTTGGGTAGATACGGTCATCTGGAAAACTTTCATATAGCTTTCTTACTTTTGACAACATTCAGAGGTACGTATCACAAACCTGAAGGAAACTGATAACTCCGGAAAACTGTAGCCAAGTAATCAAGTTGCTCATATCAATTCAGTTGAATCCAACATCAATAAAAATATTTAGCTGAATAATGCTTATATATTAAGTGTGACGATTTTAAAAGAGTATGCAGTGAGCTGCACTCTAGTTTACACCAGTCTAAAATGCTATTGGAGGTTAGCTTTTCTTATATATACATCTCCATTGCTACTAGTTCTTAGATGGCCACTATCTGACGTTACTTAAATCTCAGTGCTAACCTCACCACATCAAATTTTTCCTAGGACAGTAGCTACATTAATCTGGTGAATACCAAGGAGATTTGAATGATAATTATCCACTTTTTGTATTCCTTTGTGTTCACTAGTGACATAATCACTAACGGTATATTCAGCGGAGAATTATACTCTTATTTCTTCATCTTCTTTCCAGTACTGTTACTATCACAGATTTTAAAAAGATCTGTTGATCTTGTGACTAGAATATCAGTATAGAACACTGAATATAATTATTATTGTTAGATGTGTTCATTTTGTTCTGAGACCAGTTTGACATGTAGGAGATTATAGTATCAGCTACAGCAGTCAGACTTTGCGTTGGGATCACTACGATAATGCTCCAGGAAAAAGTGCTTACTTAACGCTTGTCGATTTTATTTTCATGGTTTGGAATTTTCCGACGGCTAAGCATCATAACCCAAAAAACAACAATTAAACTTACTCACTTGTCACTATGTGGAAGAGAAAAGTTGTCATTTATGCCTGTGCACTACTCCTGATAAATTTTTTAGCTTATTCGTTACAATCAAGATGCTGATGTTTCAAAGTCCGTCTAGTTAACACAAATCTTTAGTTGGATAAGCAAGGTTTGCGGTAAGTATTAAGTGATCACAGGTATAAAGATTTAATTTATGATACTTCTCAGTTATATTTGCCAATCACCCCGGTAGCTTTTACTTAATAAAAGTTCTTCTGGTTAGTAGTCTTTCTGGAGGTAATATGAAGTCATGAACTGGGATAGTTTCCATTGAAACTAGTTTATCATTTAGACAAACAAAATACGCCTAAACTGAGGCGGCAGAAATCTTTAAACTTTCAGTTTTCACGATAAAATTTCAACCCGTTATTTGATGATAAGTTGAGTGTTGTGCGTCATTTTGAAACTTACACCTGTGACTGCGTTTTAGTTAAGTTTACAACTTTTGTGAGCTAGCAAGGTTCCTTTCGAAAATAAAGACTCTTAGTCGGGTACTCATGAGTTTATACCAAGGAGGATCGAGAAATATCAGAACCAAAAGACTGCAGATGTATTAAACTCAGTGATTTCAAATGGTAATTCGACCACCTATTTTTAGCCCACAATACAAATGACTATATATATATATATATATATATATACCAACAAATGTAACAAAAGTCCTCTACTGATTTTAGACATTATATTGAAATTTTGATAAATTCTGCGAATTCCTAAGTACTTATCCTGAACTGAATTAAGAAAAGAATTGGAACATTACATCAGAATTGACAAGTGATTGTTCAGATTTAATTTCCTCCCTTATAAGTCTTGCTTTACTTATTTAGCAAATCTAATCCAGTTAATGAATGTGTCTACCATAAATAACAAATTTTGAGAATAACAAACTTGATATATGACTGACTGCATAGTGATGTTATTTTCGTGAGTTTTAAATAATATTATACTGCTAAATTTGTGCTGTGGGAAAAGTATATAAAAACGTTTTCACACAAATCCTTATCCATGTAATTACCCAGCTACAGTAATTAAATAGACGCTGAAGATGTCTGCAGATTAACCTGTAACTCGTAACTGTCTTAGGTGACGGTTTAATGTTCTTTGAGCTGTCTTTAAGCGTTTTATTACCAGGCTTGTAGACATTGTCAGTAGCAAACTTATAAAGAATTTGAGAGTCATCATGACCTAAAAACATTTTTTATCAATTAAAAAGATATTATGTTTTTAAAACACCTTCAATCTGCATTTCGCCTAATTTTAAACTTATGAACCACAGTATGAACAATACTGGTTTGCATCACAAACTTATTTGTGTTTGCATATACGTCGGGGATGAATCAAAATAAACTCAAAAGTGAGCTTTCAAACTTCCTCACTGTGTTTTTGGTCAAACGTTTCTAAGTGTAGTTTATTGTAAATATGTGTGATGAATGCCTACATATAATTAAAAGCTTTTTAATTCTAGTCTCATCGTCATAGTATTCAGAAAGCATGTGGTTCGATTACGAGGTTCAAAATTGTTTGTCACAGACAAGTTAAACCCAAATATACACATATTGTGAGGATTTTACTACCTTATTCCAAGAGAGAACTGTAACAGCATCTTTCAGGAAAGAAACAATGCCGAAAAAAATTCATAATTTGATGAAAATGGAGGCCAGGAAGAAGATAGTCTTCAACAAAAAGTCCTAATAAATGAAAGTGAAGTTTTTCTCTCTTAATGTTGAATTCATACTGTAGGTGACGTACCAACTTATGGAAAGGAGTAAGAGTAAGACATTTGAATGCGTGAAATACGTTGACGTGATGCATGAACTACTATTGATTTCAACATCCGTATTGCCTATGCGCTCACATTTCAGTTGACACTCATCCAAGAAACATTCTGGATTGTCCCCGAAAAATACTACAAGTCATCAAGCAAATAAATGCACATTTGTGCAGTAGGAAATAAACCAGATGTTTTGTGTTAAGGCCATTTATAACAGACGGCTGTTCAAACATCGATAGGTGGAATATTTTTTTGGTATTTCAACATTTCACCTAATAATGAATATCGTTTTTTCGTGAAGCAGTTTATTAAATGCTTTAGTGTATCATCTGTGACGGTCTCATTTTTAACTAAAATATTACTCAGAAGGCTACAAAAACAATTATCAGAAACAGGAATAATGAGGCTAAATTTAATTAACTGACTTACTTGTGATTTTTTCCAAGTTTTTCGCCTCAAAATCACAAAATGTAACGCGTGGAAAATTGCCCGAATGAAACCATTCACGTCCTTTCAGTAAGTCGTATAATACACGAAATCCATAAAAGGTATGATCATTACCAACAAATTTTTCCATCATAAATAACTGGCCAATAATATTTGTTAAATACAGAAATTTAGTGAAAAAATATAATACAATTAGAAAATTTCCCTGACGTTTACCACAACAGCATGAACAACAGTAACGAAAATGACTTTTATGCAAATTCAGTGGTTTCTCTTGCGACTTGTATGCTGAAGAGCGTGTGGTGGAACGATGAAAACCTGCTGTATTAGCATTAGTCGCAACATTCTGTTGGGCATGGCTGTCATCGATTTTCAGACGTCCAAGCATCGGATGATAGTCTGCACCACCACCTCTTGAATTCAATGTTTCCATTGCTGCAGCTGCTGCGGCGGCTTCCTCTTCTGTTACAGATGGCAGGTGTTTCTTGTTCTTTTTGCCATTGTCATCTACAGAAAAGCTATGTCTAATTTTTTCCAGGAGTGATGTACTTGAGCCTCGACGTTGTGTTGTGATCAGAGCTGATTCCATTTGATGATCATTACTGTGTCTATTTTCGTCACCACCTATAGGCGATTGTCTTGGATTTACTGTGCTTAGCTGATGAAAGTGACTTGCAGGCATATATGGCGGGGACTGAGTGTGAGAATGAGGTGGGGGAGGTGGTGGTGGGGGAGGATGATGATGGTGCGAGTGGGGATGCTGATGAGTATAGGCAGGTGAATAGTGTTGGTGCACATGCATATGGGGTGATTGACCCATTCCTGTATAACTTGTAAGGGAAAATCCTAAAACTGTCGATAATTTTCGTTTACGATAGTCTCTTTGTCTGTAAATACAGCCTTCCATGTATCTGGCAATAAATCGTACATTCTTCATTGTATGCTCAGGCAGCAGCACATTGGAATCACATGCCATTTGCAGGATACGCCTTACATTAAATCCTGATTGAGCCATAAATAATCGCCATATCAGGCAGGGTAAGTAAAACAACATGGCTTGAATAGCCATTACAATTGGTGCCCATTGGTAGTAACCAATGAGTAACATTTCTCTGTCTGGTGCAGGGGGTAGACTGTGCTGCAGTGGCGCAAAGTACGTATTAGATACCCAACAGTAGTTTTCAGCATACTCTTCCCAACCACGCGTAAATTCTTGGGGAATCCAACATTGAATCGGTTTGCCTGAAACAGAAAAGTGTGGAAATTGAATAGAGTTAACTTTTTATAAATTCTAGACTTTCTAAAGAACAGTCCCAAGTGAGTAACTTTTATTACTAATAAGACAAATTACTTCGCACAAGGCTTTTATGGCTATGAACTCTGCCTAACATGATATTTCATGCATGACGAAATGTAAACAGTCTAGGAACACATAGCAGATATCAGTTCAAACCAAACGTATTCTCCCTTATCTTTATGCATTTCATATCACGTAAAAACTTTAAATTATCGTATGCAGTTTGTCGTGACCATATATATATATATATATATATATATATATATATATATATATATATATATTATATATATATATATATATATATATATATATATATATATATATATATATACAAAAATTGGGATGACTCAGGCAGTAAAAATCGGAAATAAATGTGATTACTATAAACAAACAAAAACGTAAGTTAAGCATGATTTGGTGAATTTGTAAATTTTGTAGGGACTTTTCAGTTACGCACTCTGAATCTGGTGTAATGCAAGGTGAAATAAAGACATGTTACAAGCAAGGATTACAAATATACTTTGATTGGTCAATGGACAGTAACCAATCTCATGTAACTTAGTCTTGAGCCCTGACCAAATTCTGTCGATCAATTTTGCATTGTGGTCGCCAAGCTAGGAGGCTCGTTATCTCAGTGGACCTTGATGAATGTTAGTTCGTTAAATGCAGTCGATAGAAAACTCTAGACCTAGGTTTTGTGCTTGTCGACACTTGTCAGCGAGGCGTAACTCTCAGCTCGAGGGAACTGTTGTCCTGTCTGAGATTTGAACCTGCGTCACCTAATGCTGCATCCAGATACGTTACCACTGAGCTATTCAGGCTGCGACTGACCTCCTGTAGGACTGGTAACATACTAGTTGATTACTGGAGAGCAACAAATTTCATGTTACCTAGTCTTGAATGCTGACGGAATTCTGTTGATCATCTTTGCACTGTGGTCATCATTCCAGGAGACTTGCCACCGCTCTGAGCTTTGACAAGTGTTAGTTTGTCGGAAGCGATTAGCAAAAGATGCCTATTACAATGGAAGACCATCAAAATGTGCAAAATTTGAATTGTGATTACGTTGCATCTGTTAAAGTGTTACTGTCATTATAGCATGCCTTCATTGAAGAATTTATTTAGCTTCGTCTTATTTCTTAGTCAACCACCCCTTGATTCAATAATTATTTGCCCTCACTCCTCTGATTTCCATATTTTATCCTAACTCGTTCCACCTAATGAACAAATTTATCATTAATATTCAACTAATATTAGAATTTTATCTGTCATTTTCACAATGATAAAACTGAAATTTTATCCATCAAGCCTTCTCGCTTACTTTTCGTACTTCAACTTGGGCCGTGAATTTTGTTTTCGATTTTTTATTGTTACGCATCATTTGTTGTCCTTTTTTAGATTATGCTCGAATCTCATCCTGTTTTAAATCACAGCGTATATGAACACATCTGTGGAGTATTCAACTGTGGAATTCTGCAATATTTTATGAATTTATCAAATCCTGTTTATTTCACGGTTGTTACCTGCTTAAATTTGCATCGCCAAAGATATCTTTTGAAGGAAATAATTCGATGTAACTAAATATAGCGAAGTTGACTTAATAGCATAGTTTTACATCAACTTGACTCATTTTCTTGAAATAACTCATCATATTTGCTAACAGATCAGTTATATTATCAGTTTTCATTATTGAACTTGCCATTGATGAGTTACCGTTTTTCTAACCATACTCAAATTGTCTTTCATATCAGCTTTTTCCTTCTGCCTACACATAGAATGGATTTTATCAACACTTTCCCTTCGACAATCTTAGAAAAATATTTAAAAGTGACACTGTCAAAAGTTGCTAAACAGTTTAAACTAGTTTAAACAAATACAAATAATTTAGTGTTTTTATGTAGTTTTTGTTCACCTTCCAGTCATGAGGGAAAGTGCTTAACTAGAAATTGTTCACTATTGTTTTTGATGTAAAATTTTTACAGCAGTGGCGATATAAATATTCACATGCTCACAAGCTTAAACCACTACTTCAACCACCACTTCAGAGATCCTAAGAGTTCTTATCACTAAGCAAGTCATCTTGAAGGATATTGTTGGGAAATCGGAAGCTAGGTAATACTTATCAAAGACAGAATAGTTTCCCCACTGTTGATTGTCAGTCCCCTCATGTGTTCACCTAACCATTCTGTTTTAGCTAAACAAACTATCTGAAGGTATTCATTTAAATTATTAACTTGACGAATTCAAGACTAAAGCGATAACTCAACAGTCTGTTAAGTAGTACATTTTAAAAAAAATTATAAATGTGAATGTTTTCTCATCCCCTTTATACTTTTATATCAGAAGAAAGTGACCAAACGCTTTTAAATGATGTTTAATGTATTATAGATGAGAGTGGATTGCGAAACCAAGATAAAGCTCTCAGAAAAATGAAAACATTGGTAAAAACGACATCAATGGTTTTTCATTTTTTTCAGATGTTATGCAATTTTTACACGAGCTGCTTAATTAGTGACAATTTGAATGATCTTATTAACTCAAACCAGAAATTAGAGTAACTTCAAAAGGCATTCCTGGAGTTAGTGAAATAATGAAGTAGATATCCTTATTCTAACAAGGAAGAACATGTTTTGTAAAATCTTCATCAGAAGCCATAAAGACATACTTCATCTTTTAAATTCATCCAGATACAGTAGCCATAGTGTCCTATAAAGTCAAACTTACCCATAGAGCTAATCCTCTCATCTCAGTTTGTAACAATAAACAGTCCATTTTACTAAAGACTGGAGCAATAACAAGATGCTGTGTGATGCAATTCTGAGTTCATATCCAACCAGTAGTATCATCAAAGTGATTATAGCTGTAGTTTTCTTTCGCTGAGCTGGAGCATAATGATGTTTTTAAAGCTGTATGATCTATTTTCTCTCACGGGTAGATCGTTATCTGATGCTTCGTATGTCATATAGAGCCATGGATTTTATGCCAGCAAAACTATAATATTTGTAGATCCAAAAGTCTCTTGAAAAGCTATGAAAATCGTCGAAAAACATCCTGTAGTTTCAAACGACCAGTAATTGTCTGAGCTAAATAGTTTGATTTCAGACTATGAGCAAATTTTATGAAATTATATTTGACTGAGGTAAGTGATTTGATTACATGCCTTGATAAAGACGTAGTGTGGAAAACCGGAAGTCGTAGACACTATGTAAATGGATAAAAATCTCTCATAGCTTTAATAATATACTCACTCCTTACTATAATCTAGGCTATAAGCATCTTATTGCTTAGAATCCATATACCCCTTGTCTTGTAATGTCTTTCTTCTACTTCACTTTGCCTAAACAATTCGCCTGTTGCCTGAGCAAAATTACTGTGGGTGTACCAATCATGAGCATGGTCTTTATAGAGTGAATCAGTCATTAAGTAGTTTAATCACTTTTATTTAGCTAACAGACATCATAGATCAATGTGACTAGCTTTCAGATGCTCACGTTTTTCATAGGCATAGTTCACCCATTTATTTTCTATAGTTTTTCAGTTTTGTTAACTTTTGCTAGTAGTAACACATTCTGGTGAGGTGATAATGGTATTAAGTTGTTTTGACTCTGTTTTACAGTTACGGCATATCATGAACTGGAAACGGAGCCTCAAAATCTATCCTAATATTACTGCACGTTTCTATATAAAAAATTCAGTTGACAGGTTGTTGTGACAATCTGGATGAGCCTAGATAACAATTATCACTGACGACTACCTGGAAATGAAGTTGGTCCTCACTGAGTGTTATGTGCGTGTATGCATACCAAGATCCCTTTACAATAGTTTACGTAGAAACAACAGTGTAACTTGACTACTACAGATTGTAAACAAATACTCTCTTTGAAATAATTAGTCCCTGTAATTAATTTTGACAACGTTATAAAAGGACGAAAATCATCTGAAAAATACGGTGTATTTGTCCGTTACATTTTGAAAAGAGACGCATACTGAAATTTGCCTGTGTTAGCTATCTGTAAATTTAAGCCCCCGTTGTGTGTACAAAAGCAATTTGTTGTTTCATTTAATTTACCTTGGTAATTCTTACCTGATTATACTACTAAGACTAGTGTCACAATTTTTTCCTACTCATTATATTTGACCTTTAAACTTTTTCCTTTCATTTTCATATATAAATTGACTTTACAAGTAAATGAGTGATCAGACTGTTCGGGATGTATTCCGCAAATATATCACATTTTTCAGATAATCTTCTTGTTTTAACATTATCGAAATACTAACTTGTTCACGATATAAGGCTTAAATCAGTTTGCTGGCCACTAGTTCAATGAAAAGTAAATTTGGCTACACCACAGAGATTCTCATGTGTGAACTCGCAAATGCAGTTTTGAGTTTGTCTTCTGCTGCTAACTCAAGAACACTGAAACTTCGTATAGGTACAAATGAAATAGTTTGTCTAGCTGGTTAATACAATTCAACAGCAGAAAGAAAAGAGCTTTGATTCAGGCAATTCAATGTATTTTGTATCAAGATAAGCTTCGGCAGTCACTGGAATGTATGGATAACTGGTACCATTATTCAATATTTTTAATATCAAAGTCCTAAAGTGCGTAAAAATATATTTTGTGCAGAGCAACAAAAAGATCTAAGTGGTTTGTAAAAACCTATTACTGACTACTTATGAGTAGTAACCTCAGTGGATTGGGAAAGATTTGTTGGTTACCTTAGTACATTTTGGTAATTCCTTTACCTTCTCCAAATAGATGGCAACATAGATAACAGGAAACTGTATTCGGCCGTTTTTGCTTATGATTAAAGTAGACTAAACTCAAAATAAGAGTTCCTTCCAGTTAAGGAATGGCTGAGCCGTTTTGACATTCGAATATATTACGGCACCACATAATAAACGCAAAATGAGAATTTCACCTTTTGCATTAGAAAGTGT